TCTGAGCCCCCCGGCAGGCTCCTCGGACGAGCCTTGGCCGGGGGCTGCCCGCCCGCCCGAGTGCGAAGGGACGAGGAGGGGGAGCGAGCTGCGTCGGGGCCGGGTTCTCCTTCCCGCCTCCTTGGCGTGGGCCAGGGCCCTTTGCCAAGGTGAGGGGCCTTCCCACGCGAGCGGTGAAGGGGGAGGGCAGCGCAGTGAGAAGCTCCTTGGGCCTGGTGCGCTCTGCGCCTTGCTGTAGGTCAAACTCCAGCCTGTTGCTTGTCCTCTGTAGGACCGGGATCTTTTGCCCTTGCAGAAACAAGGGGCTGTCTTGCTCGAAAATGTCCTCTCCAGCCTGCAGAAGGTCTTGTTTTGTATGGTGCAGGCACAGGCTTCCCCTGCAGCAAGTTTTGTGCAAGAGCCGATATGACCTTAGACTGCTGGAAGCCCAAGGACACATGCAGGCCGCTTGTGAAAGAGGATTCATTCATTTGTGTCTTGCTAGGTTTAGAAGTCTAGGTTATGTCTGTGCATTCAACAACTTCGGAATTCATTTTGAAGGCTTCAGTTTTTTCATTTTAAAATGTATGTCACTGCCTGCTGGTCTGTCTGGCTTTTTTGTCACTGTTTTAATGCATTTTCTTCCAGTGTAATGCATGTGCAGGTTCATTGAATAATGTAGCTATTTGCAATAATAGCTCCTGAAAATGGTGCTATCAAATTGCATAGTAGTGTTTGCTTCTGTATTGTTTATTGTATATCCAGCTATGCAAAGATTACTGTCTTTCAAGTAAGACAAATGGCTTAGTAGATAATAGCCTTAAAATCTTATGTTATAGTGTATGGGAACAGCTGTGATAAAATGTTTCTTTTTTTATAGCTTTTTTCCTCCTCTTGCAGATCCGTGCTGGATCAAGAGTCTTGTACAGACCAATTTCGGCATCTGTGTTGTCTAGGCCAGAGGTCAAGAATGGAGAGGTACCTTATAAACAAAATTCTGTATCTTCCTAAATTACCTGGTGAGCCTAAATGTCCTCAACCTAGAGTTCACTTGTACTAACTCAAATACCTGTAGTGTGACACTTGCTTTAAGTCAAATACCTAATAATATGTGTTGCTTTTTTGCTGTTTCCCCTGAGAAGTCTTTCACATTTAAAGTTGATTGCTTTCAGGTGGAACAGGTACTGTTCTGAAGTTTTTAACTCTTGGTTAAAGTTTCATCACTTGAAAGAGGAACTAGACATTGGGTCTAATACAGCTTTTAGAAGTGCAGAATAACACTATCGAAGTGGTTATAGAAAATGGTTTCTGTCTGAATATAATGCTTTTTCATATTTTGTTTTCTTAGGGCAACTCAACACTTACTGGGGCCCAAAATACTGTCTCCCGACTAGCACTTAGAGAATTCCAGACTAGTGCTATCAGCAGGGACATTGACACTGCTGCCAAATTTATTGGTGCTGGTGCTGCCACAGTAGGTGTGGCTGGTTCTGGTGCTGGAATTGGAACAGTCTTCGGTAGTCTAATCATTGGTTATGCCAGGTAATCAATCTCTTTCTCTTACAAAAACTCTTGAATTGTGTGCAGATACACCTTGAGACAGCACCCTCAGATAAGCTAAGTTGTAGTAAGGGTGATGGCACTATAATAAATTCTGGTAATAATTACTATTAATGGTGAACATGGCTAAACAGAATTATATGAAACTGTATATTTATCAGGATGGCTCTATTGTTAAAGTCAGAACTTTGTCCACTCTACCTGTAGAAGAGATGTGAAAGAAATAAGGGGATTAGACTTAGTGGTTTGGTCACTGAAGTCCAATGCTTCAGCATTCAGTTCCAGAACTGTATTAAAAATCTAGCCTGGATCTTTTTCCATGTGAAGGGAGAAGTCGTAAAGAGAAACTATGAAAACTGGTAATAAGCTTGAGTCTGTATACTTTGGATTTTGTGGTCAGGAGTGTTATTTAGAAATGGATACTTAATTCAGTTTTCTAATTCATCTCAGAATATGTAATTTATCAAGTGAGTAATCATTCCAGAAATCTGAATGGGTTGAGGGTGGGTATTTTTAGTAGGGCTGAACTGGATAAGTTTATAATGAATAGTTCACATGGTATTATAGGAGAACTGATATAGGCATAAAAAAGCTTTAATGAAGGTTTCATGTTCTTCATTACTTTTTTAACCAGTTAAGACTTAATGAAATCTTAATGATTTTTTTAAGCCCTGCTGAAGACAAGGAAGTTCACTTTCCACTTGAAGACGCATAAATGTTTTCAATACAAAACTTATGTCTTTTTTTTTTTTTAATTTGGCGTGAACATGTCTATCAGAGGTTGTAGAACATGATTTCATAGCCTTATGTTGAAGGGGTTTTTTTCTCCCACACTCTTCATGGAGTGTTAAATCCTTGCGTTTTTGCAGAAAACTGCTGTGTTTCTTTTTTTTCACTCTAGGTGGTTTCAGTTCCAGTATTTGAGAGCTACTTAAAACGTTACACACAGATTTCATTGGAATGTAGTTTTGATGTTACAGAGGTGGAATAAATTTATAAAGCATAGTGCTGATTCACGCATAGGAGAACGTAGAGAACTCAAATTCAAAAGCCTACATGAATGTAGTCACAAAATGTGTGCTCATTTGGAGAAGCTGTATACAATCTGCATAACCTGAATGAAATCTTAGTTGCCAATCTTCAGTGATGTCCCTGCTAAAACTTACTCTGGCTTGGATTTATTGGATTTTCCTGTTATGGAATCTGTGGCAAGGAAGTATGAGGTTCTGAATCTGTCAGATGCGTTAAACTGTATGAAAAGCATCTCAATTGTAAAGATAAAAAGGTCTTACACCTTCGCTTTCTTTTAGAAATCCTTCTCTGAAGCAGCAGCTGTTCTCATATGCTATCCTGGGATTCGCCCTGTCTGAAGCTATGGGTCTCTTCTGTCTGATGGTTGCTTTCTTGATCCTATTTGCCATGTGAAAGGAGATCTGCCTTGTAATATTGGCATTGGAATGTAATTCTGCATTTTATGGGACTCCCAAAATGTTGGTATCATGGAAATTGATGCTATTTCCAAAGTCATTTCATTAAAGATAACAACTTTAACTGTCAACCTGTTGCCTGCATTTATTACCTTTCTCACTAGGGTATCTGGAAGACAGCATCTTGTCATTCAGTCACTGTGGATTTCTCCTGATTATTACATAGGACCCTTCAAACAATGACTTCAAGTCAAACATTTTATTAATATGTATGGGCATGTAATTTGTTTGTTAAAATTGTGATGTATCTTTGAAAGATCAAAGGATATGCCAATTAAATGTGAGAGGCTCTACTTCTGGCATTCTTCCTTTACTTGTGTTTCAAACTTAACAAGAACTATTTATGTGCACAATTATAGGGTTTTTTCAGGCCAACTGGCACATAAGGTGTTCTGGCACCTCTTGATAGGAGCTAAACACAAACCCATGAACAGTGACAGGAATGTTCTCTTTTCATAAATTTTCAGTTACACTATAAATTTTGATCTCCATGGTAAAAATTTTCCACTTGGTTCTGACCAGTGTCCTAGTTGAACTAAACAACTGCTTTAGGTTGGTCCAAGGCATTTATTTGTAGCACATTGATATTACACTCTTACTTAGTTACTGCATTCTTGGCATCACCTAATGAAAAGGGAGAACTTCCTGCTTCCTAATTTTGTAAAGGCAGCCTTTTGTTCTCTCAAATTCTTTTAAAAGCAGTAGGATCAAAGGATTTTTATTAACAAAATTCTGCAATATCAAGCTCTGCTTCTCACAGTATCTGTCTTTTAACAATAAATGCATTAGTGGTGTCTACACTTAAGCAACATACTGTGTGTTGCTATATACTAACCTGGTGGGGGGGTTGATAGCATCTCAAACTTTATTCAGAATATTAAATAATAGATTGGATCATTCAACAGATGCTTTGGAAGAATGGGAGCAAGCATATATGAGCTTTGTCGTCTTGTTAAATGGGTAATTACTGATTTAAATCCAGGAAACTTTATACTATAAGCTGCCTACCCCTAGGGAAATGGAGAAATGACTAGTGGCTCTCAGATCAGTGCAAGATGCAGGTAAGACCTTTGTTTCCATCTGAATTCAAATACCAAATTGGTGGTCATAGAGACATGATTTAGTGGTGGACTTGGCAGTGTTAGGTTAATGGTTGGACTTGATCTTAAAGGTTTTTTCCAGCATAAGTGATTCTATGATGCATGTAGCCTAACTTGGACGTAGCATGAGAAGTTACTTTCCCCATATTGTTCTCAGGAGAAAATAGTAATCTCAAGAGGATGAAAAGTTACTGTGCAAACTCAGAGAGCGTCCTTTTATATGTGTGAGGTTTAGGAGTGTAGAATATGCAGCATCTTTAAATATTCAGCTCTTAACACAGTAGTAGTGTCATATGACTAGGTCTGGAAGTGGCTTTCTTAGGGGGGTGAGGGCTAGGAGGTAAAGCATGTTGCAAGCTATATTCCATGTGGTCTGTGCTCATGCAGTGTTTATGAACTTGCTATTATCCATTCTTGTAAGCTATTCTATTACAGAGCTAACATACAGTGCATTTGCCCTGGATGAAAGGTAGATAATAATTACTAGAATCCTAGGCTAAAGCTCATCTGTATACTGCTGTTCTGGTTGGGGATGAACTTTGTTCTGTTCTTTAGTACTGTAGAGATCTTGCAGGCATCTGAGGTGGCAATTCCTGTTTCCTAATATTGTGGACTAGTTTAAGACTTCTGTATCACCGGTATTTGGCCAAAGATCTCCAAAGATCTTCAGACTTGTGTTGGTCAAGTCTAGTTCCAGCTCTGTTAATTCTACTTCACAATTTGTTTGCATGTAAAATGGTTGTGTTGAGTTGTAATTCTGTGTTTGGTGTAGAGAGAAGATCTAGCTAAGCTATTACTCCATAACCCTAATAAGAAAGTCATCCAAGTCACTATGAGTTACTTTAATAGGGTTTCAATAGCAGTTTTTGGACTGACATCCCATCTTTTCCCATTTGGTTCGCCCTGTCAGCTGGTACCCTTTTCCCTAGGACCAGCCTTGTCTGGAAGGCAGCAGACATCTCAGCTGACCCTCGATATGGATGTGAAGCCTGTTTTAGTAATAGCATCTTCCCAAGCTTGTTACTTTTTAACCCACTCTTAGACTGGTGAACATGGGCCAAACCCAAGCAAAATTGCTACTTGATTATGTCAGAGGAATCAGATCTCAGTGTTACAGATAAAGACTAATCAAGGACTTTCAAAACATGGCAACATATCTTAACGTAGAGGATTATCCTCCTTGGAGACAATAAGAGGCTTAGAGTCAATGAGTGATGGGCAGATTTTCACATCTGAATGATGACAGGGTACATTGACTCCCTTTCTCTATTATTCTTCCCTGTTCTTGAAAAACAGCTTCATTTCAGTGGTTACTTGAGCCTTTTAACAGCTTGGTCAGTTTGGTCTTAAATCAACAAAGAATACTTTTCCTAAAATGCTCACAAAAGAAACCACTATGAATATGTAAAAGGTTGGTTTTTACCAAAAAACCCCCAACCCAATCTCTTTGCAGTAATTGGGCAGCAGTGGATTGACTCTTGATCTTCATAAGATTTTACATCAAGAAATCTTTTTCATAGGTCAGAGAAACCAGATATAAAGTTCCATGATGTGGTATTACAGGCTTCACTTTCCTGAAACCTTTTTCAGTTTCTTCTGACATGGACCGTGCTGACCTTGGAGATTGTCAACTTGTGAAAATTCATATTGTAGGTTATCTAGATTCAAAGACTGTGTTCATGTTTCAGTGTTGAAGCCAGCAGATGCAGAGATCTTCATTGTCTCTCAATAACTGTTCTGCCTGCTGTCCTAGTAGACAGATTACATTCCATTTCTGAAAGTGATGTGCATGACTGTTATCCTTCATGTATAATGAAGGAAATGTTTATTTTGCCACTTACACTCTTAAGTTACTGCTGCAGGTAATAGTGATTCATTCCATCCTGCTGCTTTTTTTCTTTTTTTCCTGCTTTCCCTCTCTTTATGTTTTTTTTTTTTTTTTTACTAATTTCAGACCAAAGAAAGGCAGATAACTTGTGGTTCAGTATTTTATTCAGGACTGATGCAGCCATGTGATGGCAGAGATAAACCACGTTGTTACCTATAGAGCTCTTAGTTGCTCTGTGAAGAAAGAAATAAGATCTCTAGTCCTCTCTTTTTTTACTCTTGAGCCCTTTGCAACATGTTTACGGTAAAGAGTAATTCCACTTTTAAAGTGTGCTTTTAGGCAGTGTTTTTTATCCCACCTTATCTCAAAGAACTCTGCGAAAGTGCTGTATGGTGTCCACCAAAACAATTTACAGTAATGAAAACATACTATATCTTCTGCAAGTTCAGGGAAACAGGCAAAAGGGGGTTTTACTGGAACTAATACTGCTTTTTCAGATTTTTTTTGTTTGTCATAGTCTTCTTAGACTCTGAACAAGACAGTTCCAAATGATACCTGGGCACAGAATTAAATCTTAATTTGTAATTCTGAGCACATACTAGCTAAACTTGCCATATATGATTATGATATTCTTTTAATTCAAAATGCTTCTGGTTCCTTGTGTTCCATTGCACAGTGCTGTAGCGTTTTTGATACAATGTTAAATCAGGTGAGTGTTCTGCAGAACCATGGCTTCAGGCACACTCCTAGGGTTTGCCATCAGAGCTGTGGTGGGGAAGCCAAAGGAATCGGTACGTGCGTTTGGAGAAGTGATCGTCAGATGTGAGAAGCGCATCAAGCACTGCCACTGAGCAGAGCCTTGCAGTGGTTTAGTCTCCACCTGTCTTCCCCTGGCAGCAGGTGCCAGCCCTCCTGCAGAACCAGCAGCGGAGGCGCTTCCCATCCGGCTCGGCTGCACGAGTTCTCCCCCAACAGCGGCGTTACCCGACGTGCCGCCGGCGCACGGACACGGCTGGGCGCTCGGGGCAGATACGGTGCCCAGATGCGGCCGGTGAATCCTCAGCCAGCCACATCCGCGGGGACGGGACGGGACGGGGCGGCGGGCGCTCCTGCTCCGAACGCCGGC